AATTCCCAATTTTCAGGACCCCAAGCTCCGAGTTTCAGGTTTCTTCTAAAACACAAATGTTCCTGAAATTTCTCCTAATACATCATGACTAAATGCCTTGTTCTGGGACTCCATGAACATGAGATCGGTTAGCAGCACTAGGCCACTCTTCTCAGGCTGCTTCAGAGGACAGTGCTCTTCCTAGGACTGATGTCTATCTTAACACAAAGCCAAATCCTAACCAGAAAAAGAGTAGATTACGTGGTCTGGTCTGGGGCAGCTGCTTATTAACAAATGTAGGCCACAGAAATAATGCTAGATTCTTGCTACTCTGCTTCCTCCTCCTATCATTCACCAAAAAACAACAAAAAAAGAATTTTTATTACCTACAGGTAAAAAAACTTCAAAGATGCATGATATGCCTGGGAATATAATACCACGAGGAATGGATGCCTCATACAGGATGCTCTCCCCCATTAGTACACAACAATTTCTAGAAACTTCTAGAAATCCTGAATCTTGGCTCCTGGAAGGACAGGAATAGGTTTTTAATGCAAACTTCTCTAGAAAGCTGTTTCTTTCTCCACCTCTTTCTTTTTAAAAAAGTCTAAAAGTCTAAGTCTGTTTTTAGATATCTAATTAACTAAAAATAAAAAATTCTATCAGATGTGAATCTCCCCTTTTTACATGGAGAGGATGCTTAGATGGACCAAAGATGGAGCTGGTGGGATTCATTCAAATCCAAATCCTAAACAAAATAAATAGAAAAGCTGTGTGTTATATTTAGTATTGCAAACTTCACATAAGAGGGAAAAAAGGGTCAGAAAATAATCATCAAGGAAGTGTAAGATGCCGGTGATATCACGTTCAAAATTGCAAATTTATGGAAAAACAAAGTTTTTATATCTTTGTAACTTACAAATCACAATCTGGAGAATTTGTACAGCAAAATGAGAAGTTTAATAAAAAACCAAATGTGGAAAATCTTCTATTATCACAATGTTGGTTAATGATTTTTTTTTCTTTGACACATTTGTGTAATGATAAAACATTACCTTAAGAAGAAAAACTCTTAACCAGCCATTTAGTTGGAAAAAGAAGAACCTAAGACAAAAAGACGGAGATGTTTGGCTTGAGGTCACTCGACCCCTAAATTACACAACAGGGACTAAATTCCAGTGTCCCAATCCACATTTTGGCCTCTGTCCCTTCCCCACCATGCTGTCATGGATTTTTTCCCTTTATGTAACTGCTGGCTACACACTCCCATTCTTGCTATAAAATGAACAGTTTTCACCTTTTATTGCCTCTTTACATGAAAAAAGGAAGGGTCATCACCTCACAATCTGAGCATGTTAAAAAACACACAGACTTGGGGCTGCTAAGGAAATGTGGCACAGCTTGCCTTTGGTGTTCTGCGATAATGGGTTAAAACAGCTAAGATGAACTGTTTTTGAAAAGAAAATGTATTGCATGTGCATAATTTTGAGGCTCTCTTAATTGGCCCTTGGAAGCAGATGCACTAGAGACCACCCATGGAGATGTATATATTGTTAGAGCTGGCTGTTTCCCTCATTGTTACATGGTTATGCATAATTTTTAAATAGGGCTAATCTTTATACAGTAAATAGGTATGTCAACTAGAGTTTTTTATATTTATTCTTCAAACTTCATAAGGTACATCTGCTCCAAAAAATATCATAAGCCTCTAAATACCATGATTGCTAGGAAACAAAGCATTACCATAAGGAGTCTACCTTTCTTTAAAAAGAAGACGTTAATCTCTCAAATGGCATATTTATGCAGATAAGTTCTAAAAAAAAATAGGTTCAGAGACATGATATTAAAAACTAGTCACTACAAAACTTCTGGTAAAAGCAGGTGGGCTCAATAAACATGCTAGCCTCAGCTCCTTCCCTTAACCACCTTAAAATGATTATAAGTAATTTTAAAACAAGCAAACAACAATAAAGCATAAACTCATCAGGACAAAAAGAATGAATGAGAGTAAATAAAAAAAAAAAAAAAAAAAAAAAAGCTAGAAAGCCAATTGACATGTGGCCACTGACTTACCTGACATGAGAATGTAGAGTTCTATGGCAATAGTGGTAAAAAACCAAAAGGCAACCGCACATGCACTGAGAACCAACCCCCTCACCCATTACTCAGGCACTGCTGGCACCAATACCTCTGCAGGTGGGGATAACTTCGAATGGGAGGATAGGTTCAAAGATGGCATAAAAGCAGTTAGACACATAGATTTCCTCTTCTGCTTTGTATAAACACTAACTGTTCTTCGGTAACCTAGCAGAAGTCTGAAAATCTGTTATCTGGAGACAGTAAAACACAAGGTTTGTGGACCTACTGCAGGGCATCAGACACTGGAGAGAGCAAGCTACTGTACTGATACCAGGAGAATAAGCAAACGCTTGCATAGTAACTGTTAAGACCTCTTCTTTGCCCTGTGTTTCCATTCCCAAAACATTATCACCCCATGCTTCTGCTTTCAAGGCAAGACAGCAGAAAAGTCTTCCGACATACTGGTCAGATTGTCAGAGAAGACATAAAACATGTAAAGGTATTGAAATTGGTGTTCTATGTCCCCCGCTCAAGCCACCCTTTTCATAAAGACTACAGTTGATAAATTTGAAATATGTACAAAAAGCTCCTAAAACAGAAGCCAAAACAAAAGAAAAATGCATCTTTGGGGAAACAAAAAAAAAAATGCAAAGAGAAAAAATTTCAGAAAGTTATGACTAACATCTCTAGAGAAAAGTTTATGAAAGAAAAGCATGATGCTATTTTAAAAAAAGGCATTCAGGGATCAAAAATTAGACAATGGAAATTAATATAAAATATAGAAGAAATAAAATCCTAATGGAAAGTCTGAAAGATAATTTCAGATCACCTCCCAAATACAGAGCAAAAATAAATGGAAAATTATAAACAAAGAATAAGAAAATTAAGGAATAACATAGGAGGGCCATAATCCACACAACAGAAAATAGAAACAAAAATAATTAAATAATTTGAAAACATCAAAAATTGAAGAGCATGAATTTCAAGACTGCACAGGGTTTACTAAGTTCCCAGTAGCGTGGATTAAAACAGATGCACACAAAGATATGTTCTTGTGTAATTTTGGAATACCAATCCTAAAAGCCTCCAGAAAAAAAAAATATAAGTAAATAAAAAATGAGCATGGAATCAGACTGCTAGACCCTGAATACCAGAAGAAAATGGTGCCTTCAGTATTTTGAAGGAAAGTGATTTCCAATCTAGAGTTTTATATCTAGCTGACTGCCAATTAAGCATGAGAGAAGACTAAAGACTCCCATATCTGCAATATCTCAAAAATACCTCTCCTACACACTACCTTTGCTTCAAAACTACTGGAAGACAGATTCTACCAAAATAAAGAATGAAGAAAGAAGGTGAAATGGGGTTCAAGAAAGGGGCTATTCACCAAACAAAAAAGGCAAAGAAAGTCCTCAACATGATAGAGACTCAAGTCATAATGTTCCTAGAGTCATTTCTTCAAGGTGAAATTGATAAACTGCTTAATATATTTGAAAAGAGTAAAAGGTATTTATATAATGTGAGAGAATTTAGAGACAATTTAGTGATAAGTATACAGAAAACTAAGCAAATAAAAAATGAGGTGACTATTTCTTCCAGAAAAAGTAAAAAAATGTACAGGAAAGAAAAAATGATTATAATATATTATGTTGTTCAGCTACAAATGCATTTGATCTAGTCTTAACAACGTAAATATAGAATACAGATTTTAGGGTTTATATATCTTACTGGGAGATAGGGAGATAGAAATCACTTTTCTGGGGAGGGGTGAAGTTGTGAAAGGGGTATGTTTATATATGGGAAAAACGAAAAATTCCAACTTCCACAGAAGGAAGTTAATTGATAGCTCCAAAACAACAGCAACAAAAAAATCTAGATGCAGCAACATAAGAAATTTTATTTAAAAATATAAAAAGCAGTTACCAAGGGAATGGCTAAAAAGATTTAAAGTGAATGCTCCTGGAAACCTAGAATGGTCTGGGGGTATTCAGGGTTCCCCTTTTATTTTTTTGCAGCAAGTCTCACACAGGTATTTTTCTTCTTCAAACTATTTGAGTGTATAACCTTGACATTCAAAAGCCAAATTAAAATTTTTAAAATTCTACAAAGACTAACCTCTGAACTTTCAACACTCCTAGAAACTTCTAAATCATTCCTATATCTTTATTGTTAATTTCAACTTGAATTTTCTTAGCCAAGTTCATATGAAGGTATTCCCTACCCCATTACGATACAGCTCTTCCTGTTTAAGTCATTAGTCTATTTTTCTTAAATGGCAAAGTTAACATTATTAATGCTATAACTGATTAAAATCACTGAGCCACTACTGAAATCTGAGAATATATGCCTAGATCTAGACTACCGGAGCTCTTTAGACAATAAAAGAAATACACATTGCTTCTTCTTACTAATAATTGAAAGTTCAATAAAAACTAATACATATACCCATAAGCTCCTTATCAAGTAATCATTTGAATACTGTCATAAACAGGCACTAAAGCCAACAAGCCACCTTAAGATATTCCCTAAAGTCCAGACAACTTGCATCAACGCTGTTTCACGGGATTTCTGTCTCAACAATAAACAATGCTCATAAGCAATCAGGCATGGAAATTACTCAATATTACCATTAAACTCACATTTCCAATAAGTCACTTGTAGAATTTCTAGGTCTCCAAATTTTGGCACAGATTATAAAAGCAGCCCTCTACTAAAAACTGATCAAATTAGAAAGAAAACACACAAGCATGAAGGCATTTGCTCTATGAAAAAAATGTTCAGAAATGCTTTGTCACCTGACAGTCATTTCAAAGAAGCCTGTCAGAGAATCCAAAATTTTCAAGAGTGAGACACTACAGGACTCAAGTCTAAAATATTTTTTTTTCTTACTTGTAAAGCTACCATATGGTAAATTATGTTCTCAGGAAAAGAAACAAACTTACCTTTCACAAGCTCGGACAGTCCATGCGGCAATTATCCATAATGAGATACTAAAAACCAAGAGTACAGTTCCTGGGCATATAGTCATTAAAGTCTTCATAACAAAACGCGTATTGAAGTTTATCTTATTAAGTGCTCCAATGCTTCTAGAGGAGGCATCAGTGAAAAGTTTGCTATGTAAAAGCATGACTCTGGCAATCAGATAGAGTCTTAAGAACATTGGTATAGATAAAATAATATCCACATCAGCGGTGGTTGTGGATGGGGCATAGGAGAAGGCAAGCCGGGCCGTCCATGTGAACGTATAATTCCCAGGTATGGGATGAATAGCACACACCAGTATTTCCAAGCAGATGAAGAAAATACGCTCATAAGTCATGGCTATTCTCCAGTCATCTGCTCCATTGTCCACCATGAACAACTGAAAAAATAAAGTAGAAAATCAGCTTCAGTATGGCATGAATGGTCCACAAGTGTTAGTGCAGATTTTAAAAACACATAACAGATGACTTTTAGCAATCATGGCAAGCTAAAGGTTATAACTTTTAAATGCTAGCCAGGTACACTATTTTTAGTAAAGGGTATGGGTATTCATTTTGTACAAACTAAAAACTTGCTACTCAGGAGCTAACATTGTTTTGAAGTTCACGTTCCTGTACAATCATGTAAATAACATCATTTTAAAACAGGGGCTTGGGCCTCTCGGTCATGAAAATCCCCTCAGATAAAGTTGAAATGGACTTGCCTTATAACAAGTTGTTTTCCTCTTTCAGTCTGGATTTAAAGCCTTACACAATTCTAACTATATTCTCAGTGAAATCTATTTAGGGTGCCTCTGCAATCAGTTATACCCTATAATGCAACACCACATGAGCGTTCTTACAGGAAATCTTATTCTTGGCTTCAGATAAAATCACAAGAGACCACAGACAAATGTGGCAGAAACATTTCTTCCAGTTTCACCACGACTACTCTATTTTCTGTCTTTTCTTCTATTCGCCCATAGCCTTCCTTTGGATTATTCATTTATTTTCAATCTTTATTTAATAAAGACCCCATTTTCCTGTTTCTGTCTTTCCTTCACACCACAATCAATGAAAACAAACAAATTTTTTAAAAAGGAAAAAACCAGAGAGAAAGCAAAGTGAATAAATAGATATATCGATGAAGAGTAAAAGGGACAGAAAAGAGCATCTTCCTCTCTTCCCTGGCATCCTCCAGGCCCTGGCAGTCAAGAGACAACCAGAAGCATTTGAAAATGTGTGGTGGCTTTTCTGACTGCCACAAGGATACTGACATTTAGGCCCAGAAGCCAGGGGGCCAACCATGCTGCAATGCTGAGAGTCCCACGTTTTAGGAAGACCTTTGTTTTGAGAAGCTACATATATTCCAAAGATACTGTCATTGCTGTCTTTGGAAATTACTATCAGGGATTGCTACAAGTCACACAAATAAAATACTACTGTTCTTTAAGTCCGCATTTCCATTCTTACCAAAAATGGTATTATCCAGTAGAAAATGATTTTCTACTTTCTTCACCAAACTTGGCCCTGAATGACCTGGTAGTGTGCAAAAATTAAATCCACTTCCAAACAGGCTAAGAATCACCATAACTCCAAATACTCAAAAGCCATGTGGCAAAGTCTCAGCTCAGTTCCAAGAAAGGTATTCCTTATAATGTTTTGGACAACAGTACAAACTCAGGACAAATACCTTACAAGGTAACTGGTAAAGAAACGTCCCTCTGTATATATCACTCTGATATACTGCTTACAAATAGCCTCTTCCTTCTAGGACTGGCCCTCCTTCCACCCTCCCCAACACACTTGCTCCTCTCACCTCACTCTATTCTCTTTTTTCAGGCCCCTTTTCACTACCCCTCTGCCTACTTCCCTAACTAGGCTGGATCTCTCTATTGCATCTCATTGCTTCAACCATAATCCTAATGCCGTTCTCGGCAGCATCACCCTTTATCTTTAGGTGATCCTGAAAAGGTAACTCCCAATCTGGAACCTGACATCCAGACTGCTGCAGGTGACCTAGGGCCATCACCCACCTGTGCCATCAAGCTCAGCTGAACGCTCAGAGAAACCTTGTGATCATTCCCTCAGCCACCACAGATTGTTCTCCTCTAGCTCCACCTTTGTTCCCCTTTCTCTCAACACACACTTTCCCCACAGTATCAGAGGAAATACCCTCTATCTGATACTTTAGCCACAATCTTGCCTACAATTTTGCCCTTTCATCCTTATTTCCCTCCTCTTTTGCTTTATGTGTCTAAAGCAACATTTCACCAAAGTCCAGTTCTCCTGCATCAATAGCCTATAGCCTAGTTCCTGTGTGTCTTTTCTCTCAGCAGTCTACAAAGTCAAACTTCTACCATTTACTAAAACAAAACACCCAAACAAAGAGAACCAAGGCTGGCTCCATGCCTACTCTACGTTGTGTTTGTTTTCTCAGTTCTCCTTTATTGTCAAACAACTTCCAGGCAGATCTTGTTCCCATTAGCCTACCAACACTACTCTTGCTAAGGTCACTAAAGATATCTTCATTATGAAATCTGATCCCCCATTTTAATTTGTATCTTATTTGTCCTGTCATTCCTGCTTCCGTAAAACAGATTTCTTTCCTTGGCTTCTGTGACATGTTGCTTTCTCCATCTGCTGCCACTCTTAGTCTCACTGTCTTTCTCCCCATTCTGTGTCCCTACTTGGTATGGCTTGGATGTGTCCCCACAAAATTAACCATCACACTACTCTACTGAAGCCCATCTCTGACTCTTCTCTCACTCTATACTTCCCTGGGTGGTCTCATCCTTCACTCTCCATTACCAGATTCCTCCTATTGGAGAATATCTTCCATTTTCTAATGACCTCTTTTAAATGCAATTCAAGATGAACATTATTCAAAGGCCCACCATGGCCTGATGGATAAAATCTAATCTATATCCATAGCATACAAGTCATTCTGCAATCTGGTTTTGGCTATATCTCCAACCTCATTGCCTGCTATTCTACTTACATTTCCCAATGTTTAGAGAGTCCAGAAAACACCACCCTAATCATGCTTCTGTGTCTTTGTATATTCTGTCCCATAGCCTGGAAAGCCTCCATCTAGCAAATTTGCATTCCTTCAAGATCAAACTCCACATCACCTCCTCTAGGATGTGGTAGATGACCTGTAAAAATCTGGAAACTCCCTCCTTTGTTCCACCATGATCCTTATATGTGCCTCTCACTGATGCTGTCACATAAAAAACATTAAAAATTTCTTAATAAAATTGCCTCCCCTACTTGTTAGTGAGACTCCGTGTCTACCTACTGGAGGATAAGACATGCTTGATAAATAAACTTCCTTGTTATTTCTTAGTTAACAGTGACTATCCTAATCACTGGCTAAGTCCTAATATTAATTAAATGTGCTTGTGGAAGCTGAGAATACTAAAGCATAATGCTAGTAAATGCATGGCACATTCACTTAAATAATAAGTCTTTGCAGCAGCATAATTTTGCAGTTCCACAGAGTCCAGATAACTTTCCTCTTTGGTAACTTCCCCAGGAAAATGTTCTATTATATAGTTGTTTTTTTTAATATCAAAGGTCTTAACACCTCCAATGATTTAATTTTGTCTTATTTTATCATAGCATATATTTTAATGCTGTAATTGAGGAAAAATATTTACTTGTATTCTCTACGTAATCCTGACCTTCAATGTTGCTTGTTTATTCATTTATTTATCCAGTGTACTGAATACTATGTGCCAGGTATTGGTCTACATACCAGCCATATAGCAGCATTTACAGCAAACAGAGAGTCTGCCCATTGAAACTAACTTTTGCTAGGAAAAAGAAAAAAGGAAAAAAAACATAAGAAAGCAGGCTTAGAGCAATTGAATAAAGTAATTATGCTTTTGGACACTGTTATGAAGGAAAGAAACAAGAGATGAAATACAGAATAATATGTTAGAGATGACGGTAGATGTGGTCATCAGGAAAAATCACTAGGTAAGTACCATTTTATGCAATATCTGGATTAAGAGAAAAGCCAGTCATGTAAACAACCAGAGGAATAATGTTCTAGGCATAGGAAACAGCACAGTTAAAGGCCCTGGGCTTTATAAAAGCTTAGCATGCATAAAGAAATTAAGGAACATTAGAGTGGCTGAAGCTTAATGATCAAGGGGCAGTGTGAAAGGAGATGAGACTGGAAATAAGTTTGAAGAGACTAACTGGGACCAGACAAGCAGACCTTTGTTGACTATCATATCCAGACCAGATTTCAATCTTAGCCCTGCAGGAACCCACTTAAGGACATTAGGCAGAGGAATGATGTGATCTGATTTATAGCTTAAAGGGCTCATCTGTACTACTCTGGGGAAAACAGTGTGAAGAAAAGCAAGTGTGGAAGGAAGGATAAAAGTTAGGAAGCTCTGCTGCATTTGATTGGCTATTGTTCCTTGTGACCTAAATTGGGGGACTGTCATGGAAATGGAGACAGTGAATGCACTGGACATAAAGTTTGGAGATCTTACAACATACCAAATGCTCTGGGTCACAGCTAAAACAGTGTTAAGAGAAAAGTTTATAGCACTAAATGCCTATGTGAAAAAGTTAGACAGATATCAAATTTAAAACCTAACATCACACCTAGGGAAACTACAGAAACAAGAGCAAACCAACCCCAAGGCTGACAGAAGACAAAAAATCACCAAAATCAGAGCTGACTGAAGGAAACCGAGAAGCAAAAAACCATACAAAAGATCAACAAGTCAAGGAGTTGGCTATTTGCAAGAACAGATAAGAGAGACCACTAGCTAGACTAATAAAGAAAACAGAGAAGACCCAAATAAACACAATCAGAAATGATAAAGGAGACATTACCACCAACCCCACAGAAATACAAAAGCAAACAAAGCCACAAAGGCTACTGTGTATACCTCTATGCACGCAAGCTAGAAAACTTAGAAGAAATGGAAAAACTCCTGGAAATGTACAATCTCCCGAGATTGAACCAGGAAGAAATGAAATCCCTGAACAGACCAATAACAAGTTCCAAAAATGAATCAGTAATACAAAGCCTATCAACCAGAAAAAGCACAGGACCAGAGGAATTCAAAGCCAAAATCTATCAGGTGTATTAATATAAGTAAGAGCTGACACCATTCCTACCGAAACTATTTCAAAAAACTGAGAAGGAGGCACTTCTCCCTATCTCATTCTAGGAGGCTACCATCAACCTGCTACCAAAACCTGGCAGAGATACAACAAAAAAATAAAACTTCACATCACTACTCATGATGAACATGAATGCAAAAATTCTCAATAAATACTAGCAACCAGAATCCAGCAACACATCAAATAGCTCATCCAGCACAATCAAGTATGCTTTATCTCTGGATGCAAGGCCGGTTCAATATATGTA